CATTCAGCGGTCTGCTTCTCATCCCATTTCTTTCTTCATTCAGTTCAAAAATTGCATTGTGCATCACTGATACTCACTCACTTGCTCTGCTCCTTTTGAACTTACTAAAAGCCCCCTACACCCATTTTACTTTAAGTTTCCAACTTCAGCTGTTGCTTTTTCTCCTCCTCCTGAACTTCCTCCTCCTCCTCCTGGGTGTGAAGGATGGTTTAATAACAAATTAGCATTCTTTCCTAGGGCCTTTTGCTGCAGTTGTATGCCTTACCCTAAATAAATATTGATTTCTGCAGATCTTCCTCACTTCCTCTTTATCCAATGCTCTCAAGTTATCAGAGGAAGTGCCTTTTAAAACATAATAGATGTGAAGTGTAAGCCTTTGCGGGGGGAAAGGAAGTAGGGCACAATTGCATGGTGATCTAAAGCATTTCATCCACCCCGCTTATTGCTGCTCTGAAAGCTGACACACATCTCTCAGGACTTATCGAACGGCAGCCGGGCAGAGCACAGTCCTATACTTGGATATTCAGAAGTAAATCCACAGATTGAAAGAACAGTAGGGTTGGAAGGGGCCGTGAAGACCATCTCACCTCAACAAAGAGCAAGTAAGCCAACAGGTTATTTCAGGTGGTAGTCCTAAAGGAGGACTCCCACTGCTGTAAATATTCTAATTGCACCTGTACACATAATTTAAGGAGATCTCTCCAAGCATTCATCCAAACACCGGAGCGAAGGGAGGAATTCTCTTGTCATAGACTGAACCTAAGCAAAACTGAACTCCTAAATGATATTTTCTCTGAATATTGTAGCAGCTTTCTGTTTTTGCTAGATGGTCCAACCATGGATAGTATTTATTCTCTGTGTAGCTCATACCCTTGGTGTGTCATTATTTATCATTTGTGCAATCCTAAAGTCCTCTGTGAATTATTTCATTCCATTTTATTGATTGTTCTGCAGCTCAAGAGATATTCTGGTGCAAAGCAACATGCCTTTTAAAATTCTGTTTTCATTAACATATCCTGCAGCAATTGAAAATGAGCAAACACTACTAGCTTTTTAATGGATCACTTAGAGTTTCTCTACTGTTGGACACAAGGGGTCCAAACATGGCGCACTCAGCCCAATTAAGCATGACGAGAGGCAGAAACACACTATTTTATTCTTGAGAATAAAGTTTGATCACGTCTACCTGGCTATCAACCTTGAGCGCATGGCAGAATCCCCTTTTATACCCCTGGTGAGCAGGTGGCGATGGCAGCTACGTATCGGTTTGAAATTTCTGCCACTATTGCTGATTGGCGTGCTTGAATTCAGGTGATCCCCATGAGTACCTGGGAGGCTGGGCTACCTGGCGGTGAAGCTGGGAGATTCTAGACAGGGATTCCTCTAACTCCCCGACCACATGGAGGCTCCAGGTACACTTGAGCCCAGCCTGCCCAGGCTTAGCAGATGAGTCCTGCATAGAAGAGACTGAATTGTAGTGAGACTTCTAAATTAGCCCCAGGAGAGGCTGGTGCACCCTCTCTTGTTGAAACCTAAAGGCCCTTTCAAGACAACACACACAGCACACAAAAAATACTAGCAGGAAGCCTTATTCTCCTGCATGCAAGGGAGTGACACCAGTAAGAGGTCACAACAAAGAGCAGTGTGAAAGGCAACCCTCAGCAGTTTCAGCACTGCTCTGACACGCTCGCAAGACGTAGGATGACAAGCAAGGTTTGCGTTCCTGCTTTGGATCACGTGGCACACCTGCACGAGTGCTCGTTTTGGAACGCAGAGCGTTCCTAGAGTGCATTTCACCGTTATCAAGGAAGCCGCTGTGTAACTTCTTTCTCGTGCTTGGGGCACAGTGGCCTTGATGCTTACTCTGTTCGGACTTAAACTCTCTTATTGATGCTTTCATCAATTTTCTAGTTAAACCTTTTCCTCAACCTACTTGTCAGCACATGATGAAACGTTGCAGAAAACTCCTGTTAAAAAGCAAAGGTGCTGACAACACTTTACCCAATTGACAACTCCATTGTACTAGAACTGTTACATTACTATAGCATTCTGAATGTGCCCCTTGCAAGGATCTTAGGGCAGCTTCCACAGTCCTCCTATACACACAGAACCACAACCCTGTGAGGTAGGTCAGGCTGGCCCAGAGTTACCCAGTGAGCTTCACGGCTGAGTCAGGACTAGCACCTGGATCTCCCAGGTCCCCAGTCTAAGACCCCACCGCTGCACCACACCGCCTCCCTGCTAAGTTCTATATACTGTTATCACTGTTGCAAAGCAGTCCGTTCAGCTGGCTGGGTCGTGCTGGAGGCTGTTCAGCTAGAAATGCCACAGAAACCTGCAGTGGGTTCAAATAAGTTTGGACATCTATGAATCCAACCCAGGGAATCTATAGTGAACTGGCTTTTTCTTAGTCACATGGTTTCCACAGACTTGAGTACTATTTTTTTAAAACTTCCTGTAATTGTACCCAGAGGATAATCATAAGATATTTCAAAAAAAAATTAGAAACAACTCGGAAATGTGCATTTTGGGGGATCTATACATGTTCAAAACTGCAAACTTGCAAAAGTGTACATTTGTGCAAATGTGAAATACACAAAATCGAATTCCATGAGCAGACAACGGAACAAAATACACTTGCTAATCCACAAAATGAAGACAGTCCTTACTTCCCTAAGCCCAGCCATGACCTACTTGAATACTGAGCTAAAGATCTGGGGCTTTCCTCCATGTGCCATCCCCAAGGAAATTGCAGAGGGTGGCAACAAGGGGGAGGGCCTTCTCTCTGGTGGCCCCCCCGTTTGTGGAACAATCTCCCCAGTACAGTCTGCCTGATGCCAACCTTGTCATCTTTTGGACTCCAGGGTAAGACAAACCTTTATGCCAGAGCTACTCAGGGGCTTGAGGGGACTCCCCATTCCAGCTCCTTTAAAGAGGCATTCTTTGCTATTGTTTCCTTTAGCTGATCAAGACTTTTTGATTTATTCTGCTTTTATGATATATTTTAATATGTCTTTAATTGTCTGTTTTATGGACTGCTTGTAAACCACCGAGAGCTTTGGCTACAGGGTGCTATCAAAATGAAAATCACCAAGTCGGGGAATCTTGATGTAAAGCATCACCCTTTTGTCCACAGTCCGACTGAAAGACATAAAGGAATCATGGACTCCTCTCTTGACATGCATGCTTGCTGAAATCGCCCAGCCCCTTGCGTCAGGTTGTCCCCTGTAGGCATGGCCCCCTTGGTCCTGAAATAGGTCTCCAGAGCCTTCTGCACAGGGTTATTCCTGGAAGGATAAATTGCAGCTGAATGAGGCACCTTGGGTTCCTCTCAAGAGGGAAACAGCTGCTGTGATGCAACGTCATCATCATCTTTTAACTGCAAAGCCAAGGATTGAACCTGCAACCTTTGGAATGCCAAGCATGTTTTCTACAGTGACCTTCACACTTGGATGGTTGGTGTGCAGATGTTACCACAAATCCCACAACTGAAATCCAGATGCATCCACGTCTTCTCCCCCTCACCAACCCCTGCCACCCCCTCCCACAGACTCTTTCCATGAAGAAATGCCTGTCATATACAGAACTCACATTCATCTCTTGGAATTTATGTTTTGAACATAGTTTCTGTGCAGCATTTTGAACATCTAGATGCATTTTTCTCCCCACATGGACAATTCTGTCCGCCACCCTGCTTTCTTCCAGCAAAACGGCATCTTTTCATGCTATATTTTCAAAAGGAGCATTTCCATTTGTGGCTACTGTTGATCAAAACCGTTTTTCAACTTGTTTTTCTCGCCAGTGTAATTCAACTAAGGGCAAACTCTGGCTGACCCTTTTCAAAGTTACTTTCCTCCACCGGTAATGCAAGCTTTCTGTGTGGGTACTTTTCCAATTTTATCCCACTGTTGAAACAGTGTCTCTTAAAATATTCCTGTGCTGCCTCCCACAGATGAAAGAAACTGTTTTGAATGTCTGCAATTTAGCAGTCAGAAGATAAAAGAGACATGATACTGGGCAATAAATCCCATTCTTTAGTTTCCCTCCCCCTCATTTTGCTCTCTAACTTCATATCATTATCAAATCAAAAGAAAGCAAATGTGCAGCTTGAATATCATCTGAGAATAACCTGCATGCCATGTTTTTCCCCTAATGAATGGCTAAATTTGATTTTGCTCCAGGTGCCAGTTCTAGTTATTAAAAGTTTTCACACCTGTGGATCTCATGCAACATTTCTCTCCTAGAATTGACCTTTCCAAATGTTTCAGCTACCTGCTATGCAGAGCAATTTTCTCATTCAAAATACTGGCCCACCACGGGCCATGAATATCTTGTTTCTACAGTTAAAGAAAATTCAGTTTCTGAGTTAGAGTTTTGCACACATCCAAGGAGACAGGCAGGCAGGCAGACAGACAGATCTATTTACTGAGTTTGCAATCCACAGGTACATGTGTCCTAGCCCCATTTCCCTGGGATAAATTCCCACTGAAATAAGTGGGAATTCAGTGGGAATTTCCTCTCAAGAGAGGCCATTCTTGCATTTCCTTTCCTCCATATATTCAGGCACTTGTAGCCAGGCCAGCTGCCTCGGGATCTTTGAACAAGCCGCAGTCTTCCGCTGCAGTGCCCTCATCCCCTGTGATGATCTGGTTTGTTTTTCAGGGTGAGGGGTGTGGGACTCTGGACTACCAGTATGGAGGAATCCCTAATGGGCGTCGCAGTCTGGCAGATTACCCAGGCTCAGCTCCCTGGACTCTGGCCTGCTCTCCTCTCCTGCTGCCTGTGACTGAGTTTCTGGCAAGCGCATCCAGTGCGCATGGGGTGTTTGCTGGGAATCAAGCTCCACGCACTACCCAGGCAGCAGTCCTCTTCTGCCTCACCTGCAGCAGCGATCCTGCTGCTGCACCAGACATGGAAGAGGGTGGCCAGTTGCGCGACCTTCACTCCACAAGCATTCAAGACTTCCTTTCAGATCAGCTCATTTTGCAAGGCCAGCCAGCATGGCAGGGAATCCACAAACGCTCAGTGTGATGGATACCCATGAGTTTCATCCCGATCCTCCTCTGGACACAGAGAGGCCAAGTATTCTACTTTATGGAGGACAGTTCTCTACTTTGGAGAGCTGTTGAGGACTCTCCGCTTTTTCAAGTTGTCCTCTCTCAAATGGGCTGACCAGACCGAGGCTGGTTTGAAAACAAAGAAAGAGAGAGAGCGGGATAAGAAACTGACCTGCACACCTGGTCCATTTTCTCTACTATGGTGGGATTTCTTATGATACTTACGATCTCTGAATTTTCACCTTTACATGGACAGTTGCATCTGGACATTTCATACAAATTGATGTCCCTTTGATCTTACCTTTTGGCAATGCAGTTCTTCATTTTTGGCAATGCCCAAGTACCTACCCTAAAGTCATTTCCAAGGTCCACCTCTGTTCAGTGGCATTTGTGGCATTTTTTCCAACTGCTCACAGGAGCAACCTTGTCCCCTGGAGATGCTGCTTCTGCATTCCATGGATCAAGCAGGGTTTTCACAAGAGGTCCAGCCACACTGGCCAGAGCCCTCTGGATCCATTAGCCCTTTAGCACCTAGGGACAGTCCATCTTAATGGGTCCTCCACCCTTGCAGAGAGGGAAGCTGTCATGGTGCCTTTCTTATATATGCCATTAAGCACTTGGACAAATCTATGGTGTGACCACACTTGAAGTACTGTGTGCAATTGTGGTTACTGAACCCGAAAGATATACCACAGAAGCTGCTGGAGTATCAATCACTGCCCGGGAGGCTAGTTTGGAGCTAATAAAATTGGATATATCACGCACATTTCCATCCCTTTATATTTTTCAGAAGGGTGGCCCTTATCATGATCTTTTGCACAGTGTCTTGGGAGCATATACATGTTACCGACCTGATGTAGGATACGTCCAGGGAATGTCCTTCATTGCTGCAGTCCTCATTCTCAATTTGGAAGAGGCAGATGCTTTCATTGCCTTTGCAAACCTCCTGAATAAGCCATGCCAGCTGGCCTTTTTCCGTGTGGATCACAGCATGATGCTGAAGTACTTTGCAGCATTTGAAGTATTTTTTGAGGAAAACCTCCCCAAATTGTTCCAACATTTTAAATCCTATAATCTTACCCCTGACATATACTTGATAGATTGGATCTTCACCCTGTACAGCAAGTCTCTACCACTTGATCTGTCCTGTCAAGTCTGGGATGCCTTTTGTAGAGATGGAGAAGAATTTTTGTTCAGAACTGGGTTAGGAATTCTTAGATTATATGAAGATATCCTCCTGCAGATGGACTTCATTCATATAGCAGAGTTTTTAACAAAGCTACCTGAAGATAGCACCTCGGAGAAGCTCTTCCCTTGTATTGCATCTGCTCAGATGCAGAACAGTAACAAGAAGTGGGCTCAGGTGTCTGCCTCATTAATGAAGGATAACAAAGAGCTAGAAAATGCACAGAGAAGGGGAACAAAAAAGGATCAGGATGCAAGAGGAGCTCTCTTGTAAGGAAGTTTATGGTATCTGTGGCCATTTGGCTTAGTAGGATATAAGTCAGGGGAGACAGAACAGCAGGGTACCAGATTATGCATGGTGTGGAGAAAGTGGAGAGGGGGACAGTTGCCTGGAGAGGCGGGGGGCTCTCCCACACTGGAGACATTCAGAAAGAAACTGGACAGCCCTCTGAGTGGGATGGTGCAATGTGGTGTCCAGCACCAGCAGGGGGTTGGACCCGATGGCCCTCTTGGCCCCTTCCAGCTCTACTCTTCTGTGATTCTATGATCTCATTTGGAGAAAGCCCAACAGTAATCCCTGCCCACTTAGGACTGACTTAGGTCCCGGTAGCCCCAGAACGTTGGGAGCTCCTTGAGAGAAGAAATGCAACGGAACGGAATAATCTGGGAGAGGGGGCATGGTGCGCCATTTTGCTGTGTTCTCCATTTCTTTGAAGCTTCGTGTGGTGGAGTGCCTAGAGAGGAATGTGGAACACATCCCAGTTCTGGATGCTCAGCAATGGAACAGCTTAAGATACAAGTCATCGGGCAAGCCTGTATGTGAGTGGTTGGCAGAAATGTTATCAGAATAGAAGTCTACAAGTTTCCAGGAGGAGGAGGAGGAATTCTTAAAAGGCCATTCAGATAGACTAGACTCCACTATGCTTGTGTTGCAAACTGTTGAGACTCTGTGCAGTAGAAGGGATTCCACAGCTATGATTTCACAAAAGGAAGGTTTTCTTGTGGTGTAGCTTTGATGCCCTTGGTAAGTTAGCTTGGATGCCTCTGATCCCGCAAGCAGCTCCGCAAAGGAGATAGCTCACCAGTTGGATTTCTCCCATTCCTTAAGCTGCCAAAGGCAAAGTTGGAGATCATAAGCCAGGGGCTTTGAGCCTAAGAGTTAGGCTTTGAAAAGCTTTTGTAGGGTGCACCGCAGGGATGGGTGGCCCAACTCCAAATGCAAACTGGAGGCAGAATTCCAACAATGCCAGCATACTTCAGCTTATAGCTCTTACTACCAACAACTAAGCATTTCAAACTTTTAGAAAGGGGAAAAGGAACGGGCAAAAGCCAGCAATCCACCAAATGATGGCAGTTTAGGAAAGAGGGTGTTGTCAGAAAAAATCATGGCCTTCTCTGAAAATTCACTGAGGCCCGACAGGCCTGAGGTTCAACACTCCCCCGCCTTAAGGTTTTGAAATAATCTCTCAGTCTCTAATCTGGCTCAACAGCTCTATCACAAGGAGTTTTGCAGAAGGGAATCTTTGCAGATTGCATTGAGCTTATTTGGTATTTAAAGAACATTTATATTTAAAAAAATGAGATTGAACTAAAGGGGAAAGCAGTATCTTTTTGCTCTTTTCTATTTCTAATTGGAATGTAGAGAATACGTAATTCATTTTCATAATTCGGATAACATTGACTAACCCCTGTCAGATGGTGAGTGGGATCTCTGTTTTTTGCTGAGGGAGGAACAGGTTCCCTTGGTGTTTCAGCACTGATGAAGGCTGATGCCGAGCACCGTGAATCAGCCCAGAAACGTTCACTGGGGCACCGGGCCTTATTTGCTAATTAGTCCCAATGAGTGTCAGAGAAGAAACGGACACTCCCATGGCAAGTTGCCCAGGATGCATGTTTGCAATGAAATAATTTTTGGGAAACCATAGGAGCAGAGTGCAACACGGTACCTATATTCTACCTGAAAAGCTGCTCTTCCTGAGTTCCATCTCAGACAAGGGACCAAGCAATGGAAATCAGGCTGGGACTATGCAAAGGAAGGGACCGGCCATGTGGGAAGGGATGGCCCTGTTCCCACAGCACAGGCAGGCAACGGCTTCCTCTCAGGCTGAGGGCCAAATTTAACCTTGCCAAAGTTCCCAGGGAAAGGTTCCCAGCAGGACGGCGTGCAAGTGCAGGGAAGCCGGAATGCCACGAAGTGCCACCCTTTCTACAGGCAGTTACTATGATTATTGTCTGCTTAATTTCTGTGTCACCCAACACCGCAGCTCTCTGGGCAGCTCACAGCAACATAGTCAAGCCTTAGGGACGGCCTTTTAAATTTTAGAAGGGTGGTGAGGTGGTGGGCTCTCCCACACTGGGGACATTCAGATAGAAACTGGGGAGCCACCTGAGTGGGGTGGTGTAGCGTGGTGTCCTGCAACAGCAGGCGGGTGGACGCAATGGCCTTCATGGCCCCTTCCAGCTCTACTATTCTATGAGGTACGTGCAAAAGTTGGGAAACCACCAAATAAACTAAAAGACCGTCTGCACCCATATATACCTACCCACCCCCTTAGACCAGCCCAGGAGGCCCTTCTACAAGCACAGGGAGATGAGAGACATGGCAACCAGGCAAAGGGCCTTTTCCGCTGCCGCTCCCCATCTTTGGAACCCCCTCCCTAGGGAAATTCGTCTGGCGCCATCTTTATTTTCCTTTCAGCACCAGGTGAAGACATATCTTTTTCAGAATTGTTTAAACGTTTAGCCTGCATGCTGAATGCGACAGGGCCTTCTGGGAATCTCTGGAGACTCTATCTGGGACTCCAGGAGGGCCAGATTTGGCCCATGGCCTGAAGTTCCTCACCCCTGCTACAGGGCACTAAAAGAGTGGTTGATGACAGGCATGCTGGGAGTGACCGCCTCATGTAGAAGATTCTCCTACATCCGTTGCTGCTCTCCCAACCCTTTCATTTCTCCAGTGTAAGTGTGTGAAATATGTTGATTCAAATCCACCGATGGATCCCTGACTGACTTGCAGTGACTCATGGAGGGTTTCCAACTCCCTATAGTAAAACAGGAGCAACAACAAAGATCATCTATTTTTCCTAAATTAGGCTACTGAAATCAAGAAAGCAGGGATACGGGCGATGCAGGAACAGAGGTTGATCTCTGTGTTGAAGCTGTAGCCTCTGAACTCCCGTTTCTGGCACTGTTGACAAATTCCCCTGCCGAGCTTGAGCTCAGAGACACCTTGTTCCACAATACAATGGCCATGCTTCGAGTTCACCCATCATGCCAAGCAACCCCAGAGAACAACCTCCATGGGCTGCTTGCTGGCTTGATAGGACATATCACTTGCAATGGATCACCCATATACTCCAGCTTGCTGTGGGTTGTTTCCCTTTTGTCCTTCAGCCCACACACAGCACACCAGCCACTTCAGCAGCAGGAACCCTCTTTTCTGCCTTCCCTGCATCAGCACCCTTTCTGCAAAAGCCCACTTGTGCTGCATTACCAGATCGCAACACGCGCATAATTTTCCGAGCCTCTGTAAGCATCATCCTGCCTTCAGCACTTCACATCCCCAGGTGCTGGCTGAGGCTACCAACCCCAGGTGTGGTTCTTCTACAGGTCATTCTTCACTGCATATCTGTATCCATTTCTATTTCATGTTTGATAAGATCATGTGATATTTTTATTGCATTATATTGTATTATGGTACCATTGGAAGCTGCCCAGGGAGGTTCAGCTACTGGGTGATACAGAAATATAGCAAGAGCAGCTGCTAATGCGAATACAGGAGCGTTCTGGCCCAGGTGTGCAGGACAGAAGACCACGTATCTGCCAGTTCGTCCAACATCCCCATATTCTCATACTATCAATACCCTCATCAGATTCATCCAACTGCACTTCTGTACCTGCCTTGCTAAGAAGCACATTTAAAAAAAACTGCATCATGTACTACTGAAGTAATACATTCACTGCAGGAGCTCCTTAGTTATTCCTAACAAATCATCATGCTGAGTTCAGAAGTCTCTACAAGTCAGAAGAAGCCACACTGAGCAACCTAACAATACGCCGTGGCTTTTCAGAGTGGCTTGCTCCTGGAAAACAACCCATGAAGTAAAAACTGCTCCAGGTTTGGAGAACACAGCACACAACCCTGAAACAACCCACAGTAACAACCCTGCCTGACTCAACATTATCATGCAAACCAGGTCACTGTCTTGCCCCAGCTCCAACTGGGGCTTTAGTGAAAAACAAAGTAGGTCCTATAAGCCCCAAACAGGGGCATGGAACCACTTTAAGCCAAGGGCCAAACTTAATTTCAGGGAAGGTTTGAGGGGTGCAGCCCAGTACTGAGAGGAAGCAAAGGCAAGAAGGAGAGGAACACAGTTTTCAAAAAAAAAACATATCCAGCCTAAAGCTCTTATGCCTACAGCTAAGCTTAAAGAGACATTTCAACCATTTGAAGCAGAGAAACTAATCCCATCTGAGAAGGATGCTTTAGCTTGGAGTCCTGCGCTGAGCAGGGGGTTGGAACCGAAGGCCCTCTGGCCCCTTCCAGTTCTACTGTTCTGGGATTTGATGACTGTACACAAAGACGGGAATTCACCAAACCATTGGTGATCATGGGGAAGGAAATGTGCCGTCTGAGGAACCATTCAAGCAAAATTGGGAATCCGCATCCAGGTCCCAGGTCTGAGGTTTCCCCTTCCTGACCAAAGTCTTCCCACCATTGAGGAAGAGACCAGCAAAGTGGTGCACCTGAAAAGAGATGAGGATCCCAGCTGGATCGGGTCAAGATCCAGCTGCTCGCTGTGGACCATGCCCACCGTTATCCCTGCTGCAAAGTATAGGTGGCTGGGGCTGGGGCAAGTATTATCTGCCATGTAATGGGGGAGATAAGACCTGTCACCTGCTCAAGAGTTTTGACCTATACACATTTTCCCTGACCATCAGCCATTAGAGTCGTCGTCGATTCATGCTAGAGGGGACCATTTTAATTAACCTCTCCTGATCAGCCTCATTTATGTTGAAATGAACAGTGAAATGATTCCCCCTTTAAAAAAGTAATGCAAATAATTATACAGTTCCACTTTAACATGATGATCATTAGCTTCTCATCAAGACCTTTTCATGTAGCAAGGCAGGGGCCATGGTGTCAATTATGCCAAATTGGAAGGTGTTCAGCTCCTATCAATTAATGGAGAAATAATAGGAGGAAAAATAATAATAGGAGAAATAAAAGATTCCTGCTATGACATTTTCTGTTCCTAATCACTGCAAAAAGCT